GTTGAATAACAAATTTAAAATGTATGTGGTACTCTGCCGACATGTTTTAGATTAGTAGAATTGATTAATATGCAGAAAATAGTAGTAATATTGTATTAAACATTTAGATAACTATAGTTTTAAATGTTAAACTTTTCTAGTATAATTGAAAACACAAACATATATATATGTATAACTCCAAATAATTAGTTATTTTATTTATTTAAATATATATATATATTTATTTATTGTTATTTTATATATTTCTTTCTTTTTCTTTTTCATTCACCACCAGCCTTTTTGGCCAGTTCAGCTGTCCAGTAGCTTGGCTGGCCACCCCTCAAAACCAACAAAACCAAATACATCAACACAAACACATTTAAACCAACATGTGGTTCCCTTTTTCACTACTGTAGCTGAGTGTTTATTTCACAAGAGGGGTGGCCAGCACAGCTGCTCAAACTGTACAAGTGCCAAAAGCAGTGTCTGAGAGGCACTGCAGCTAATGCATGCAGGTCCTTTTTCAAGGACTTTTGGCTGGCAAGGCCTTTTTCAAGGCCATGCTGCTGGCAGCCTTTTTCAAGGCCCTGGGGTGCACTCACTTTTGCTTCCTATACCTCCCATGGCCCACTATCTTCCAGGAGCTATCCTTTTTCAAGGACTTCTGGGAGGCCTCCTTTTTCAAGGAGCTGGAAGCACCACCACCTGCAGTCATGTCAAACTTTTTCAAGTAGACATCACATGCCTCAGCAAAGGTGGTGTAGCTGGAGCGCCCCCAGTCATGGGCTTCACTGATGATGTCTGGCTGATCATCAAACAGTGCTTCAGCCTCCAGCCAGCAGGCCCAGTCAGTCTTGCCTTCCTCCCCACACTTTGTCCACACCACCATTGTGGACTTCACCTTTTTCAAGGTGTCAGTGGGCACAAGTTCTTTGACTTGCTTGTAGAAGGCATGTGCCCTTGGCTTGGTGGCCACATAGCTGAGGATGTGGACATCCACCAAGCAAGCCAAGGTGTGCAAGGCCTGCAAGTTGTCTGGGTGGACCTGGTCATCCACCTCAATGGTGTTGCGCCAGTCCACCACAACTGCAGGCCTTGCAGCTTCCTTTTTCAAGGACCTTGGTGTTGACTCTGACTCATTTTTCAAGGGGTCAGCAGAGCCAGAGCTGCTGGAGGCATCCTTTTTCAAGGACAGGGCCTCCTTCAAGCCTTCCAGCTGAGCCTTCAGGTCAGCTTCCTTTTTCAAGGTTGCTGCTGGCACCAGGACAGGTTTGGAGTTGGACCTGGGCCCAAACTTTCCCTTTTTCAAGGGCTTGCTGTCCTCCTCTTCCTGCTTCTTGGCAAGATCTTCCAGTTGCTTCTCAGCACTGGAGACCACCTTTTTCAAGGCTTCCAAGTGGGCAGTCAGAGCCTCTTGGGAGGTGGCAGGAGGGTCAGCCTTCTGCAGTGCAGACCACTGCTTTTGCTGCCTGACCTGCCTCCTGTTCCCTGTGGTGGTGCCAGACCCCAGGACCCTCCCCTTATTGTTGTCCCAGTCCATGCCAGCTCCCTTTCTCAAGGGAACCTGGACCCTTTTCAAGCCAGGTGCAGGCCCTTTCTCAAGGGACTGCAGGGCTTTCTCAAGCCAAATTGGGAAATCTGGCTTTTTCAAGCTCACTATGGCAAACTAACCTACACAAAGGTTCTGTGGTGTTTGCTGTGTCCTAACACTCTAGGTTGGCAACTAGTGTGTTGCTTGTGGTGTGCATGCAGTGGTTTCTGTGCTGCAGTTGGTGTGCATGTGTGGTGTAGGTTGCTGTGTGTTGTGTGTGTGGTGTGTGGTGTGCGTGCATGCATGCATGCATGCAGCAAGTTTGAGCCACTTCAGCTGCAGAAGCAAACAAGCAGCTGACAACCAACAAAAACACAGGTGGACAACAACAGAAACAGTCAGCAGCAGCAGAAAATCTTTTTATGCCTACCTGCTGTGTTAGCAGGCTGAGCTGTCCAAAAACTAGCCCTTCATTTGAAGGACATGAAATACACAATCCTTTTTCAAGGAGTGAGACATTTCAAAGCACCCTTTTTCAAGGGGCTTGTGCCTTCCTCAGTCTACCTTGAATACCACATCCTTTTTCAAGGACATGGGTGGCTGGCATGTCAAAACACCTTTTTCAAGGGAATTGGCAGCACAAATCGTCGCTCATGTCCAAGGCTTCTTCCTTGGTGAGGTGCTTCTTGTGCAAAGCCTCTTTGATCATGTCAATGATATAGATGTACTGAAGGCTTCTTTTCTTGCTCACTTCAACAATGAGCCTCAATTTCTCACCTGGCTCATGGGCACCAATAAGATAACACCTTTCAGGCTTGCTTGCAGTGGTCTTGGTGATCTTGGCCCATGGTTTCCTGCCATGTTTCAAGGCACTGTCCTTTTTCAAGGTCTTCACCTTTTTCAAGGTGCTGGGTGATGCACAGGGAGCCTTTTTCAAGGCAGCTGCTGGTTTCTGCCTCAAGCACATGGCCTCCTGCAGCTCAGAATGCCCTGTCTCAGAAGCCACCTCAGCTTTGGCGCTTTGATGCCCCACCCTGCCCCTTTTCCACAATTTGGGTGGTGAGGCTGCCATTTTCTTTGGGGTTGCCAACTCCATGGGCCAGCCCTTGGAATCAACTGACACCTCACTGGGTGCCCTCTTCCGCTTCTTGGGCATAGTTTCCTTTTTCAAGAGAACTATTGCACCTTCACCTTTTTTCAAAGGGCTTCCACCACAATCCTTTTTCAAGGACCCCTTGCTGGGCTTTTCCTTTTTCAAGGAAGGGCTGAGGGCTTCTGTGGGCAGTGTGACAACCTTTTTCAAGGTATCCTGGAGCAAGCTGTATTCCAACCCTGTGAGGTTGGAAACACATGCTTGCACCCCACCACCCCTGGACAATCTCCTTACATGGGAAAGGAGAACTCCAATTCTCTCAGCCCTCAGGTTGACATACACAGAGCCTTTGAACTTGCTGTTGTTCAGTTCAGGCTTCTCTGTGATCATTTTTGTCAGACATGCCCTGAGGGGTTGGGGGTGGATCTCACAGCTGGGCTCCAAGTCCAGCAAATCCCCCACCAGTGGAAGGAGATTATACAGTGCCCTGGGATCAGCTGCAGAATTTCTGCTGAGTAGCTCATACCCTTTCATATCTACCCACAGGTCTTCATGCTTGCTCAGCACTTTGTGAAGCAAGCCTGTCTCAATGTATGGCTTGGGGCGGTGCCTGGCACCTCCTCTGCCAGACATTGCTTTTGATAAGGTCTCTTTTTCAAGAGACCTTTTTCAAGGTGACTTTTTCCAAGTCTTTTTTCCCAGAGACCTTTTTCAAGGTGCAAAGGTGAGCCTTTTTCAAGGTGGAAGTTGTATTGTACTGTGTATCTTTCTATAGGTATCAGTGCTTGGCCCTTGGTGTTTTGAGCCACAAAAACCTGCAAATCAGCAAAATCCAAAAAAAATCAATATAATCAAAAAAAATCAATACCAGATATTGATTCTGACCCCACCTTTTTCAAAAGGCAAATCAATATAATTTTCAAATTTCTGATCAAACTTTTCAATATGAGAACTTTTGAATAAATCAATTCATATCAAACTTATCAAAATCAATCTAAAAACCATGAAGTTTATTGATTGTAATCAATATTCGATGCTCAGGGGATGTCGAGCTCGTGGCCTCAGCTACCTGTCTCAAAGACAACGAATGGGACACTCTCCGCTCCAGTGGACTCCAGTGACCGCGTCCACCACAAAGCTTGCGCACATCATTTGGAACATTCGTCCCTTTGCCTTTTCCATCTTCACCACTTTCGCCACCAGCTTTGCAACCTTTTCCTTTCGAATTGCCCTTATCATAGGCATTGTTGTCGTTCCCATCTGCCTTTGATTCGTCCTGGCCTTGACCTTGATCTCGTTTGCCAATGTCAAACTCACTGTAAACACTCTGTGAACTGTTCGCTCGAAGGACAACAACTTTTCTCTGACCTCAACGTATGTTGTACGGTCATCCATCATCAACTGCATAGATTGTCTGAGGCTCTGTGGCATCACCCTGAGCAAACACTCGAAAAAACTGAAATCTTCCTGTTCTGCGCATTCTCTTCTCCAGCAACCGAGTGACAGTCACTCTAATCCCAGAACTTGCTCAGAATGCCAACTCCTTTGCCTTTGTGAATGCAGGATGTGCAACATCGCAATGGATCTTGTCCTTGTTTTCGGTGTCAAGTGTCCTGGCAGCTGCCGCCATGCCTCCAGTCCATTCCGGCCTTCCACTGCTCGAAGGTTCTTGAGAGGTCGATTGCGCAACAGCCCAACCAGGATGCTATGTAGCTGCTCTGCTCGGTCCTGACGGTCCTCATCTTGACGAAGTCCATCGTGCGATCCGACTTTTCAGCTTCGTCCAGATCTTTCTTAGCCATTCTGCGAAAGTCAACCCGGTTTTGAAACATAGTGATCTCCTGCTCTTGATTGCTTGGCGCAATAGGCTCTGGTTGCTTCTGCACCTTGCTGGCACTTCCAAAACCAGCTCCTTTTGCTTTCTCCCTTTCTTCTTTCAACGTCTTCACGGCCTCTACCACAGCCAAAGCAGATTGCGTTGAGTTCTCGACCAAAGCTTGCAAGGCTTCGGACATCATCTTTTCTTTTCACCAACTTACCACTTTTCACTTCTCTTTCTTCTTCTGTTCTTTCTTTCTTTCTCCACAGAGGCCTCTTGACATTTCTCGACGGGGTATCTTTAATGAGCCCCCCGGGGCGGCTCCACTACCATGAAAACCCTCACGGACGCGGCGAAACACGTTTTCCGCGTCCTCAAAGTTTGAGCCTTGCACAAGTGAATGTACATGTAGTTCAGCTGCACAACCGGTTGACATCTCAATATATACTATAACAAATGATGTGATATCTGAATCCTTTGTTTTCCACTTTGTGAACAAAATTGAAGCAATCTGACTTAAACGTGCGCGAGACTCATTTCACAGGGAAGCAAAAACAATGGGCCTTGTCCTAGACGGACTAGCGAGCAACGACCTCATGGCATGTTTGATGCTTCCAGTCTGGATCTGCACAACTCAAGAAGTCTCAAATGTGAGACATTTCGCATCAAATCTGAAAGATCTACCGTGGTGAGTGGATCACGGCGATTAGAACCAGAATTCCGAGGACTCTTACAGTAGCAGCTCGCTCTTGGCATTCGGAAGAATATCAGTAGGCAGCCGTCTTTGCTGGTCAAGCTTACAAGGCGAAAGGAGGCGACGGGCCAGCGCGAGCAAGCGAAAGCGGCGAACGCGACAAAGACCAAACCCCAAATGCCCCGGCCTCACCACTGCTCCATCCAGAAACGATGTCGCGACAGCTGTACGGCGTGCAGTGAGAAACAAACCAACACACGCCCATAGGAGGAATCAAAATGTTGGACGGAAGAGAAAACAAACATGTCTGTAGTGTATGTTTCTTGGTTGGACATGCAAGAAAACCAAGGATCGCGAATATAGGGCAGCATTGTGGCAGCAATCAATCCTGATTCAGTCAGTCCATGTCAGTCCCCAGCCCTCACAGGTGTATTCCTTTCGTTGGAACATATCCTGAGTCTTGTTGGCGCTCGTCCACAGTGACAGTTCAACTTGTTCCACAGTGACGGGTCCTTCGTTTGCATGTTGCTACAGAGCCTTCGAAACACCGCCCAGCCCGCTGACGTCCAGCCCGCTCTAATTGGTCTCGGAAAATTGGATGGGAATGTGATCAGAACGACATGGATACCACGCCGCGTGGTGAGGAATACATCACTCATGAGATGATGGCAAAACTGAGATCTTGGCTCATAATGTGGTCAACTTTGATATGTTTTTGGATGGGCTTTGGACGCTTAGATGATTTTGAATGCTTCAGCATGTGTTGTTGAATCGTTAAACTTGCAGGTTTGTGGAGTTCAGTTTGTGACGTCACTTTCTTCTGCGACAAACTAGCTGGCCCACATGCAGCGATTGAGCATGTTAAGTTAAGTATTTTAGTATTGTGCGCTTTCGTTTTGTTCCTGCTTGGGGTCTCTTTCGATCTGACTCAGATCGAGGCTTGAAGGGCTTGAAGAGTCTTGAAGCTTGCTCTGAAGTTTGCTGATCGATCGAAGCTGATTGAATTTCGATTTCCACTCGGCGTGTATTCCAAATCTGGAATTTGTACGATTTGGTTCGGTCAACTTCAACGACATGTCAGACACCACCTTAGGCATGCAAAACATATTCTCTGAGTCTCGGCCTCTGCCAGCCCTGGGCTCTGAGGCGCCTCCACACCAACTTGCACAAAAACATCTGTTTTTGTTTTTCCGTTTTTTTCATTTGCTCAACTTGCACATTCCCGCCGGGAAGCTCGAGGTTCCCCCGACCTGGAGGCTTAGCCAGATTCAAAACAAGGAAAAGGGCAAAGAAGGACAAAGAAGGACAACAGGAATTAACAAAACGCAAAGTGATTTCAGTCTCTGAGACAGCTACTCCATGCGCCACCCTCGCAAGAGCAAGCAGCTGCTTTACTTCTCGCAGTGATGCTTCTTGCAAAAGATTTGGAAAACACGTTTTCTTCCCGTTCACGTTCGCTTTCACCCGCTTTCGCCTACGTCGTCCGTCCGGTTGCGTGCCAAAAGTCCCAAAAGTTGAGCCGAAGCCAAAGGGCGGACCTGACGAGAGCGCATCGTTTTTTACAAAAAGGGACAGAAAAATCAAACATAAAAAGAAGACATGTGTAAAAAAACAACTCATGTCTCGGGTCACCCACCATCGTGCAAACCTGCATGATCGCGATCCAAACGAGGACGGTCCGGATACACCTGGTAGCTTGAAGCGCTCGTGGGATCCGTTAACGAGCTGAAAGCTGCCACCATCTCACGCGGACACCGATACCCCGGATTCACGTCGTTTTGGACAAAACAATCTGCGTCCAAAACAAGTCCGTCTGCCTGCAGTGGCGCGTCTCTATCACGCCCACCGCGTAGATCGCGCAGCAAGTATGGTGCCTTTGTTTCAACACAGAAGCTACTAGGAACAAGTGCATCGCTACTAGTAACAGGGGCCGTACTAGTAGTAACAAGAAGCTATTAGTAAGAAGAAGCTACTAGGAACAAGTGCCACGCTACTAGTAACAGGTGCCTTACTAGTAGTAACAAGAAGCTATTAGTAAGAAGAAGCTACTAGGAACAAGTGCCACGCTACTAGTAACAGGTGCCTTACTAGTAGTAACAAGAAGCTATTAGTAAGAAGAAGCTACTAGGAACAAGTGCCACGCTACTAGTAACAGGTGCCTTACTAGTAGTAACAAGAAGCTATTAGTAAGAAGAAGCTACTAGGAACAAGTGCAACGCTACTGGTAACAGGTGCCTTACTAGTAAGAAGAAGCTATTAGTAACAAGAAGCTACTAGGAACAAGTGCCGCGCTACTAGTAACAAGCGCCTTACTAGTAAGAAGAAGCTA